ATCACCGCCAACAACAAGGTCGATGCCGAAAAATTGGCTCCATTCATCAAGAAGTACTTGAAGGGTGCCGTCGAAAAGGGAACATTGGTTCAAACTAAAGGCAAAGGCGCCTCAGGTTCATTCAAATTGTCGGCCGCTGCTCTTAAACCAAAGGTCGAGAAGAAGAAGCCAGTGAAGAAGGCTGTCAAACCGAAGAAACCAAAGGCAGCAAAGAAACCAGCCGCCAAAAAAGACGGAGCCAAGAAGAAGCCAGCAGCGAAGAAAGCCGCCGCAGGCACCGCTAAAGTTGTAAAGAAAGCCGGTACACCAAAAGTGAAATCGGTCAAACCAAAGGTGAAGGCTCCATCAAAAGCAAAAGCAGCCAAACCATCGAAACCGGCTGCAGCAAAGAAGCCAAAGGCAGCAAAGCCAAAAGCAGCCAAGAAACCAGCTGCAGCAAAGAAGCCAAAGGTGGCAAAAGCACCGAAAGCATAAATGAATCGCTTTTGTTAATTACAAAATTCAATGCTACAAGAAACAGTCCTTTTCAGGACTACCAAATACCTATTTTTATAAAGGATTGATGAAAAATCATGAAAAATTGCGCACAATTCACGTTAAGCGAGCCCAAAGATATGCAATTTTAAATATAATCTACAGCGACCCATTTGCTTTGTTTAATACAATTATCTCCTTTGAATAATACAAAAAATTAACTTCGACAATCACTGTCTTAGAGATTATGGGACTAAAGTCGTTAAAAATTTGGGTTCAAAGAGTACACCTTTTCTGTTTTCTATTATAGATAAGAGAAACGTAAATAATTTTCGAAAAAGAATTCCAATATATGTATGCATATGAAGTCGATTTGTTTTATTGACACTCTTGTTTTCACCTGGTTCTTGACAAGGTCTCTTATACTTGAGACGTGAGTATATTTAATATTTATTTTTTCATTTATTTCAAAAAATGCCCACCTCGAAAGATTTTTACTTTTCCGCACACCTAGTGTAGGGAAGGTATTGTATTATGCCAAAAAATTAAAGTCATCCCAAAACATGTTTTCTATGCATATTTAATGTAGAAAACACGATTGGAGATGATTTTGGGGCATATTAATGTGCGTCGCTGTGTGTGATGTGTCCTGTGTCCTGTGTCCTGTGTCCTGTGGCGTGTTGCCAAAATTTGTTAACACGATAAATCCTCTTCCAAAAACTCAATTCAAATTCTGACTTTGCAGGATGATTTGGGACTACTAGGAGACGTGCTGATTAGTTTTTGAGCAATATCTGTTGACCGGTGTAATTTTTTTTGGTCCGAATGGAGTACCCACAATCCCACATCCATACATTTTTGATCATTTCTCAACCATTTTGGTGACACGATGGTTTCGTGCTCAGACATGAAATTCAAAATGTGACTTCACGGGATGATTGGGCACTACGAGGAATAAATCTGGTCAAATTTTCAACGACATTGATTGATCGGCGTAAAACTTAGACTCTGAAGAGGCACTTATGAGAAAAATGCCTTAAAATGATATTCTTTCAATTTGAACGCTGAATGAATGTGTAGTGGGGGGAGAAACCCGAATCTGATGTTAGTTTTAAGATGCAATCAATTTTTCACACACTTTTCATACAAAAATCCACAAAAAGTTTCATTTTTGTATGAAAGACTTGCCTTTGTGGTACTGTAATGATCTGAAACTTTGAACAGGCTATTTTTTGGATTGAAATTTCTTTAAACTTGGTGTGATTATTTATTTTGATAAAAAAAAAATATTCACAAGTTTTCACGGTAATTTAAGTTACTGCAACCATACAAAGACCATGATTTCAGTTTATTCCCAAAATTTCGGTTCCATGCGGAAAAGTCAGCTTGCGTACGTAAGCCTCTTTATTTTCGATGTCCGAATGTATGTGCGTACCCTTAATATGCATTGAGATTTCTTCAAACTTTCAGAATGTTAACTTTTTGTGAAAAAAATAACCTCTGCAAATTTTCACATGATTACGATATCATATAGGCATGGCTGCGACACAAAATTCCCATTTTTAGTAGTTTTTGTATGAAAAGTACTTCGAAAATTATTTGTATCGTAAAACTAATGTCAGATTCAGTTTTCTCTTGAATTCTTTGAGTAAAAGATTTGTAATAAATGCATGTTGTGGATCACAGTGCGGAAAAGTTCATCTTACGGATGTAAGACATTTTATTTTTAATTACATCTCACGCTGCAAATAATTCGTACAAAAAAGTAGAACGTATTTTAAAATAAAAATTACCAATCCAATTAGTAAATTGGATATCATCCTTAAAAGTACTGATTTTGATATTGAAGCATCGCTCTCAACACTCATACTTATTACTGATTATTCACTATCAAAACCGACTCTTTCAAAAATGACGTCTAATTAGACGAATTTATATTTCTTGGTATTTTTTCACCAAAAACCTGCTTGACATATACAACATTCTGCGATTTTCAATTGACGTTGAAAAACTTACTAGTAATCTATAGGAACTTACGTAAAACTTGGACGAACTTACAAAAATGTATATAGAACTCAAGAGCAGGGACCGGTTCGCGCATATTTCTATGCTTGCCTAAATGCGCTAGGTAGCATAGATATGCCAAGCATAGCCGCAAACGCAACCGACGCATCGCCGTTCACTCTATATGAACAATACAACGAACATGTATGCAGGCGACCGTGCATTGAGAGACGTACGCATACAATATAGCTCGAATCGAATGGCGACGGGTGCGTTGCAGCTTGCGTCTCCGCTATGCTTAGCATAGCTATCAGGCATAGAAATATGCGCGAACCGGTCCCTGCTCAAGAGAACTTACGCGAACTTCTGAAACTTACAGATACTTATGAACTTACAACGAATCATTTTCCCCTAGATAAAAATATCGTCTCACTCAACTTATGCTAAAAACCATTGGGTCCAAGGGAGGATTCATGCCGTTAAAGTCTTCCTAACTTACTAATATTTTCATTTCGCCATTTATTCTAGAGGAACAGAAAAAAACAAATGCAATAACACGCTACGAATAACTAACATTTACCATGTTCATAATAATAAGAAAACTTGAGATGTGATCTCTCTTTTATCTTTATCTGTTTAATGTAAATCTTGTGTATAGCGGAACATAGAATATAACGTAAAGTTATATACTAATAAAATTAGATTTAAAAATGATGATGTTTGCTTGTTTCTTTTCTTGTTTTAAAAAAACACTTAAATTTTACTGAAGAACTAAACGCACCCCTTTCATACCTGTCAAATGTGCACAGCTGTCAACTCAACTTTGACAGAAGGTTTCGTTTGTCACAACAATAGATTGACGATAGAAAACAGAACTCTACCCCAAAAAAAACAGTTTGTGAAAATTTTGTAATAAAACTTATAAAAATAGTCGAATATTAATATGGATAAAGAACTTTCACTTAAGCGTTATTGCTCCATTCAAATGTGCCAAAATGCAGTGGGTACAACAAGTCCAAACTTTCAGTTTTTCAGGTAA